AAAAAAAACAAAAAAACTTTCACATACATTATCTAAACCTTAAAGCTATCCTAATATTGGATTCATTTATCCTCAATTTTACAGATGAGAATACCAAAGCTCAAATAGGGACATTTCCTATGCACAGTCATACAACTAGAAATTGGCAGAGCTCAGATTTGAACACAGGTCCTTTCCTTTCAAATACTAAAGCCCTTTGTACTCTGAGGCATATTTATGGGCTGCATATGTAAGTTCCCAGATTATAGTGAAGCTGACCATATTTGCTTTTGATTTTGTTAAAAATTAGCATTTATTTTGAACTTGGGGGAAAACTTTTTTTTTTTGAGATGGGAGTCTCGTTCTGTCACCAAGCTGGAGTAAAGTGGTGTGATCTCGGCTCACTGTAACCTCTGCCTTCCGGGTTCAAACAATTCTCTGCCTCAGCCTCCCGAGTAGCTGGGATTGCAGGTGCTCAGGGATCTCATAAAGTGTCTAGGAAATCAGAGTTTGCTAACCATTTGCTAGAAAGGGAGTGTGACTACTATTGTATCCCTCTCACCCCCAGGAGTATGCGTTCCTTTGGTTGCTAGTAGCCTTTGTTTATATCTAGCTAATTCAAGAATGATTAATGCTTATCAGAAAGACATTTTTATGGCGACGTATGGGATAATTGGTAGTTATAAGTCATTGCTGCCAGGAGAGCCCATTGCTTACCTCTGCAAAGTGAAAAATGACCTACTAGGAAACAGTTTGGGGTCTGTTGGAAGACTCATGGACTCTTTTGCTGGATTCATTGAGTGGAGGTTTGTCCAGATCCACTTTCTTGTCTTCTGTTTCAGCTGAGTCACAATAGCTTTTTTTTTCTTTGAGATGGGGTCTTGCACTATTGCTTGGGCTGGAGTGCAGTGGCGCGATCTCAGCTCACTAAAACCTCTGCCTCCCAGGTTCAAGCGATTCTCCTGCCTCAGCCTCCCGAGTAGCTGGAATTACAGGTGCCTGCCACCATTCCCAGCTAATTTTTTATATTTTTACCAGAGACAGTGTTTCACCATATTGGCCAGGTTGGTCTTGGACTCCTGATCTCATGATTTGCCCACCGTGGCCTCCCAAAGTGCTGGGATTACAGGCGTGAGGCACCACACCCGGCCCACAATAACTTCTGAGTCCCTAAGTCAAAGAAGGCAAAAGCAGACTTCCTTTCCCCACAGTGAGTGGTGGAATTTATAATTTTCAAGGTGATAGTGCAGGAGGGCCCCCGTATGCAGGAATGACCTCCTCTGCAGCCGCTCAGTGTGTCCTGATGATCAGTCCCTGAGTATGCCTTCAGGGACTGCCTGGGCAGCAGTGACTACCCCTAGGCTTCTTCCCCTACACCCGTTTAGACTAAAAACAATAGTGAGATGGGAAGACACCTGAGGAAACTCCCCAACACTCTATCTCTGTTTCTCTTCTTCAAGATCGTGATTTTATTACATTTTTATTGCAAATTTAATACATGCTTATCATTAGCAAGTAAAATAAATGAGTACATAGCAACAAGGTTTACCTTACTTTAGCTCCTCCTCATCCTCCCCAGACCCCAGTTTTTTCCCTAAGGCTAGATGTGACCACTGTTAAGAGTTTGATATACATCTTCTATGCAGCCTTTACACACACGTTTAAAACACCGTAACAGAAAGGGAATACATGCTGGGCTGGGTGTGGTGCCTCACGCTTGTAATCCCAGCACTTTGGGAGGTCGAGGCGGGTGGATCACTTGAGGTCAGGAGTTCGAGACCAGCCTGGCCAGCTGGTCAAGATGGCGAAACTCCATCTCTACTAAAAATATAAAAAATTACCCAGTCGTGGTGGTGGGTGCCTGTAATCTCGGCTACTCAGGAGGCTGACGCAGGAGAATCACTTGAACCCAGGAATGGAGGTTGCAGTGATCCCAGATCACGTCACTGCCCTCCAGCCTGGGCAACAAGAGCGAAACTCCATCTCAAAAAAAAAAAAAAAAAAAAAAAAGAAAGAAAGAAAGAGAAAAGAAAAGAAAGGGAACACATGCTTATTGTGAAAAGACATCAGACAGCAGAGACATGTATAGAATGAATGTTGCTTGTTTCTCTCTCTTCCATCCCAATCGCCTAGAGATAGCGCTATTAAATATAGTTTATTTTTGAGACACATAATTTTGTTATTATCCCCCTGTTGGTGGACATGTAGGTGGTTTCCAATTTTTGGTATCACAGATGATGCTTCAGCAAACCACTTTGTGTATGCATTTGTGCCCACTCTCATAAGCCTCTTGGAGAAGCAAAAACAGCTGAGTTCATGTGTTCTTGCCATTTTTAAAAAAAGAATGGAGGATACCTTTCCTCCCTTTAAAGTATTGTGTTTCTCCTGTGAGACTGCAAAGGCCTGATGACATCTGGAGGGGCTGGCGTTTCTGGCTTTGAACTTTTCCCATTAATGTTGCATCAGACTCGAGGGTGTTTCTGCCTAGGATGGTGGTTTCCTGCTTGGAGGGGGAAGACTTTGGTTGACAGGAGAGCCTTGTCCTGAACCTCATGGAAACCGGGCATTCATCCGGGTTAGCAAAAAACTAGCTGTGTTACGGGAGCAGATCTGAGCCTATTTTCTTCCCCAGGAAAGGGGCTGTTGATTCCAGTCATGCCCCCTTGCACTTTGCTTTGGAGATCTGGTGATACTCCGAACACTAAGCATTCTAGTAAGGGGAGGGGACGTCAAGGCAGCGTCATGCACATTGCAACTGTCCTTCTTCCTTGTTTCCTCATTGGCGGTGGCAGTCCCCACCCACAGCAGCTTCTGGCAGTGTCAGAGGATGGTCAAACACATCACAGGATGAAGTGCCTTCTTCTCCTATTACAGATACGGCTGCTACTGTGGGCTTGGGGGCAGAGGGATCCCTGTGGATGACACTGACAGGTGGGTGCAGAGGCTCTGAGGCCACCTATCATTTCTTTTGCATTAAAGTTCATGCTCGAAGCCAGAGAGAGAGTATCAGGAACAGAAAACTCAGGCTAATAGAAGGAAGAACTGAAGGTGACTCTGAGGATGGGCCTTGAGAAACCCAGTGTCAGGGCCAGCTTCTTGAGTGTGTGTGTGACCTGTAAAGTTTTGCAGGGGCTGGCACTCCTAAGGGCCTAAATGTGGTTTACTGCTCCGCTGCTGCCATCTTGAAATTCTTAATAAAGGGCCCCGTGCTTTCATTTTGCTTTGGCCTCTGCAATTATGCCGTCGGTCCTGCCCAGAGCTCTGGAAGCTGTTTCATCCTCACAGTAAAAGTGCTCTGCCTTCAGCCCTCCAGCGCTTAGGACTATAGGCACAGCACAACTGACTCACGAGTCCTAGTTCCATTTTCTGGGAGACGGAATCCAAGTGCCCCACTTTGGAGAGGTTGTCCATCTGGGCGAGGTCGCATGGCACAAACCTGGCTTCCAGGCCTACTCCAAAGGATGGGGGTGGGGGAGTGTGAGTTCCTAGAAAAAGTGGAGGTGGGTGTCTCCTGGTGAGTATATGTGTGGGGAGGTAGGAAACAGGACAGTTTGCATGTCATTTCATTTGAAGAAATAAGAAAGCAAAATGTTCCTTGCCACATTTAACCTAGTGTGGAGAAATATGTCCCCACAGTGGGGCCTTAAATATCACTCCTGGAACTCAAGTCTCGTGGGTGGGCTCATGGAACCATGGAAGGACCTCAGAGCCCTGGAAGGGCAACTGACACTTATGAAATGCCCATTATGTGCCAAGCACTGGGACTGGTGATTGGCACATGAACCTAATTTTGTGTGTGCGTGTGTGTGTGTGTCTGTGTGTATGAGATGGAGTCTTGCTCTGTCACCCAGGCTGGAGTGCAGTGGTGTGATCTTGGCTCACTGCAACCTCTGCCTTCTGGTTCAAGCATCTCAAATAGTTGAGATTACAGGTGCCCGCCACCATGCCCAGCTAATTTTTGTATTTTTGGTAGAGACAGGGTTTTACCATGTTGGCCAGGCTGGTCTCGAACTCCTGACCTCATGATCTGCCCGCCTCAGTCTCCCAAAGTGCTGGGACTACAGGCATGAGCCACCGCACCGGGCCCCACATGAACCTAATTTAATTCTCACAGGGAATGCACAAGAAAGTGATACCAGCCCATTTGACAGGTGAGGACAGTGAGGACCCAAGACCCAGAGTTGCTAAACCACCTCCCAAAGGCAATGCAGCTTCTAAGGGGCAGAGTTAGGATTGAACAAGAATTTGCCTATTTCAAAGTTTGTCACCCCTCACTGATGCTCTGTGCCTCCCCTGTCAAAGTCCAAAGGCTGATTCAAAATTGAACATCACTGGCCAACGCTGATCAACAGCAGAACCTCACTTGCACATGGCAACGGTGAGAGAGGGAGACCGAAACATTTTTCTTGGCCTTTCAGGCCTTAGAATCCAAGCTTAAGTTTCCGCCTTCCTGTCCCTTGTGCAGTGGTTGAGGACATGGACAGAGCCAGATGTTATTTCTCCAGATGTTGTTTCTCCTCCAGTGCTCTCCCATCCTGTTCCCAGCCACCTCTGGGTGTCATGAAAGCAAGGACTACCTCTGCTTTTTCAGACAGTTGTCTCCTCCGACACCATCACAGTGCCCGGCTCATAGTAGGTGCTCAGTCAAAAGTGTGAAATGAATGAAGGGACCTAGATTTGTGTCCTGGGTCTATCATTTTCCAGCTGCCTAGTTTGGGAAATTGGCCTCTTGGAATCTCATTCCCTTCCCTACAAAAGGGCAACAATGAGTGTACTTCATAGGCTTCTGTGAGTAGCTAATGAGCTGTGGTTGTTTTTATTATTTTTTATTTTATTTTATTTTATTTATTTTTTAGAAGATGGGATCTCGCTTTGTTGTCCAGGCTGGGGTGCAGTGACTTCATCACAGCTCACTGCCACCCCCATCACCTGGGCTCAACCAATCCGCCCACCTCACCCTCCTGAGTAGCTGGGACCACAGGTGGATGCCACCATGCCCAGATTTTTTTTTTAATTAAAAAACATAGGAGGTTTCCCTATGTTGCCCAGGCTGGTCTCAAACTCCTGGACTGAAGCGATCCTCCTGCCGCATCCTCACAAAGTGTTGGGATTGCAGGCATGAGCCACCAGGACCAGTTTTAATATTATTGATACTTCGCCTCCCCGCCTTCAATGCCTTCCTGCCTAGAGGAGGAGGCAGGTGAATGCGTTCCAGTCCCTGGATAAGGTCCCCCAGCAACGTCCCAAGGGACCGACTCCCAGGCACATCCCTGTCTCCCACTTGTCTCACCCCAGATGCTGCCGGGCACGTGACTGTTGCTATGAGAAACTGAAGGAGTCCGGCCGCCAGCCTGTGCTGACTGGCTGCAGCCCCACACCGTCAATGGCACCGTGGTTTGTGAGTAGCTTCTTCTGTAGGGAAAGGTCTTTGAACCTGGGCCTTTCCTTAACATTCACCTCCTCTTTGACCCGGTGATCTTTTAGAAAATGAAATGCTTCCAAGTGCCTGGAAGGAGGCAATCCTGAGCTGCTTCCTGATGCTCCAGAGCTTCTCCGAACGTCCATGCTCATCCTGCCCCGGCCTCTCCCGCCCGTGAGTGTATCTCCCACACTCTCTGGGGACCCAGAGCCTGGTAGATAGTACATGCTCAATAAATACTTGTTCGCTTCAGCTTACACTGAATGTTGAAGCTTCCCTTGACAACTGTTACTGTTGAGAACGTGTTTCCCTGGTTCTGTCATGTGTTAACAAAACGGCTCAGCTGCCCTCCAGTTGGACAAATATTTATCAAGGGCGACTGCATCTCAAGCACTAGGATAGGGACTGCCAGGGCCACCAAAGCAAATAGGTAAGAAGATCAGGGGGACTCACATGTTACTGAGACCATTCAAGGACAAGGGAAAGTGGGCAGAGTGCCCTGCAAGTGTGGGGGGGCTTTGGCATCCAGATTGTGTTCTGGGGCTGGTAGGGTATGGGTATGTGCAGGGCAATCCTGGTCTAAACAGCAGGCACATTCAGAGGCACCCAGCGGTGGCCTTTGGTGAGCACCATCCTTTCCAGCATAGCAGGGAGGGTCCTGGGGTCCCAGGCTGGGAGGGTGAAGAGCACTGAATCAACATGTGGCCCATTACAGCGTGTGGCTCACTTCCTGCCTGGCCTCTTCGGGTTGTATGAATCGCTTTCCTTCCCAGGTGTATTTATTCACAGCTGTGAGTGCATCTTGGAGTTCTTCTGTTTTCTCCCGAGGTTGGGAAACTACTATGTCTCTGCCACTCATCCCCTAGGGTAGGGGATACATCCTCCATCCCATGGTGGGTGCCAGAGCTCAGACCCCTGGTCTCCCGAGCTCCCTCCACCCACCACTCCAGCTCAGCACACATCAAGACTCAGAGTTAGGACTGTGAGGCTCCTGGCACCAGCCGTGTGGGTTGGGGGCTTGGCCTCCTGCACCGGGAGGAACTGCCTCAGCTCACTGCCACCAGCACGTGGCTGACAGGGAAAGAACCCTATTGTGTTCCCTGTATGAGCTCAGGGAGACTTCCTGAGTTGGAGCTCTCTGGTGTGGTCCTTCTGAGACCTAAAGCAAAGTGTCTCTTCTATGACACTTCCAAGACCACATTCAGGAGAGGGGAAGGGATCAGGACCTGGTAAGAGGGATGGGGAGACGGGACTGGAGAAGGAGGCCTCCAGGGACTGAGTTTCCCATGCCTCTTCCCACCTGTCTGCGCCACAGGGGTGGGGACGCCCCGCTGGCCCAGCCCAAGCCTCCACCCTGCGCTCCCGTGGGCTGGCTGCACTCCGCAGGGAAGCTTCTCTATTCAATGCTGTTCACTCTCCCAGCCCAGGACCCCTGGAGATGAGAAAGAGTGGAGCAAAGGTTGAGGGGCAGAGGTTGGAGCCCCAGGCGGTGGCACTGCTGGGCCGTGGCAGGAGGTGCCAGAGGGGCTGGGAGTTGGACCAGAAAGTACCTGACCTGAGCTGTGCTTTCTTCTCATGATGCCCCTGCAAAGCAGAAGCAGCCAGTTGCTCCTGAAGCCTTGACCAGGGCTCCTGAGTCCAGAGCCCTGCTCAGGGCACTAGCGTGGAGGAGGCTTCTGCGTCAGTACCAGGCATCAGCACCCCTGTCCTCAGCTGACCCAGCCGGTGAAGACCAGGCCAGCCTCTGTCATCCCTGCCCCCACCCTGCCAAGCCCCTACTTCCGGGAGCAGGGCTGAGAGCCAGGTGACCTGGGTTGTAATCAGGAGTCTGCTGCTGACATACGCTGAGCCCCAGGCCCATTGGTTTACTTGTCCAGTACTGAGTGAGCATCCACTGGGTACCCACCCAGTGCCAATGCTGTGCCAGGGACCAGGGGCACAGAATAAGACAGACCCAGTCCCTGCTCTTCTGGCATTCATGGTCTTGTGGAAACTCCAGAGCTAAAGTGCCCTTGAAAACCACCTAGATCAGCCCCCCATTGTAGCCATGAAGAGACTGAGACCCACAGAGGGGATGAGTTTGATCCATGAAACAGACAAAATTAAGACGCATGTGTCTTGAACCTTTTCAGTGCTCTGGAACATACCATCTGGCCTGAGTCATCTGGGCTTCGTTTTTCTCATCCATGAAATGGGTCCAATAACAGCAGCTTCAGTGTACGAGCCTCTGTGATAGCTGCTGTACACACAGCACCTGAACTCACATGATAAACCTCTGAGGTGAGCACTATCTCCCATTGTCAAGGAGGACTCTGAGGCTCAGAGAGGGTAAGCACGATGGCCAAGGCCACACAGCCAGGGAAAGAGGAGTTGGGATTCAAACCCCAGGCGTTCTGTCTCGCACCAGCCTGCCCTATGGAGGGTGCTGGGTGTGTGCGTGATTGGAGGCCCTCACACAGTGTTAAGTCTCAGGATCTGCAGCAAACTGCTCAGAATGGTCTGCCCTGGCCCAGGGCAGGAACGAGGGGCAGATGGAGTTTGCTTCTCTGTAAGGCCGTGGAACTTCGTGCTCCTGCTAAGGGGCCTTGCAGTCAGGCAGCGCTGGGTCTGATTCCAGCTCCACCCCTTGTATTCATGGTTGAGCCTTAATCTCTTCCTCTGTGAAATGGAGCTGATCACCGGTACTTAGAAGGCTGCTGGAAGGACTGGCCAAAGCAGCCCACCTACGGGGGCGGCCTACCTAGGTGCTCCATTCCTGCCCTTCCTTTTAGATGTGGAAATTCCTCTTTCTGTCCAAGTTTTCTTTTCCTCTTTGCTGACAGCACTGGGATTTTCTCTATTACTGTTTCTTTGAAGAGTCCGCTCTGTGCTTGTACCTATCGGGCTAAGGTCACTAACCCCTTATGGAATAAAACCCCTTTCCTGGCTGGCCGCGGTGGCTCATACCTGTAATCCCAGCACTTTGGGAGGCTGAGATGGGAGGATCACCTGAGCCCAGGAGTTCAAGACGGGCCTGGGCAACACACTGAGATCCCTGTCTCTACTAAACATACAAACAATTAGCAGGTCTGGTGGTGCATACCTGTAGTCCCAGCTACTCGGAAGCCTGAGAGAGGAGGATCACCCGAGCCCAGGAGATGAGGCCACAGTGAGCTGTGATTGCGCCACTGCACTCCAGCCCGGGCAACAGAGTGAGACCCTATCTCAAAAAACAACAACAAAAACAACTGTTTCCCTAGCCTAATTGCACCTCAGTTCAAAGAGCTGCCCTGCAAGAGTTAACCAACTCCCTAGCCTCCCCTGAGTTCTAAAATCCTGCCCCAGGCCTGGTCCCAGGTTGCCTAGCAACCAGGGGCTGCTCTGGGATGCAGTAGGTAAGCAGGGAAGGGAAAGGAAGAAAACAACTCGGTCTGTCCACGACTCTAAATGTCACTGAGAGATCAGTGCAGAGAAAGACCTGTCACCAGAGCCCAGGGCCCAGTTTGCCTGGTGGTGGGGACAGCTGCCCTCAGGCCATCTGGTTATCCCTCCTTTGAGTGGGCTTACATAAGTACTTGGCATTTTTGCAAGGGACTTCAAGCTTACCCGGCAGTGACACCCCCTCCGCCCACACGCACACACATGTGTGGTACAGGGAGGACCCGGTGTGGGAGGCAGAGATGGGGTTCCAGCCAACTGAACATCCATCATCTCCATCTCCCGGCCTCTGACTGCCTCCCTCTGCCAAAGGGAAAAGATGAAAATGGTAACTGCTGGAATTCGTATTTTGCGAATTCCAAAGACCTCTCTCGTTTGCTCTGAATGCATTCCTCATCTCAGCCTCCACTCTCCGACACGCTACCCGCTGTCTCTCCAGCATTCATCTCTACCGGAAATGATCTTGTTTATTTCTCTGTGTCCATGTGCAACGACTCTCCCCACAACTAGAGAGTTCCGTGAGAGCAGGGCGCAAGACTGTCTTGTTTGAGGGCTCTTGTTCTCATAGAGCCCACAGAGAACCATACCCCTGGACTAAGCAGTGTGGGGTCTGCTGGCTTGCACCTGTACCCCCACCCCCTCGCTCCTAGCCAAAGGCCAGACACGTGTTGGGAGCTCAATACTTGTTTAATGAGTGAATGAACAAAAGCACTCATGAAATAGGCAGTGCACGTATCTTTATGCACATTTGAAAGCTGGGGAATCGGGCTTGGAGAGGGAAGCTACTTGCCTGAGGCCCCAGAGCACAGAAGCAGCATATTTGGCCCAAGAGCCTGGCTTCCTGTCTCCTAGGGGTCAGCTCTGGCACTGGCCCGTAGGCCATATGAGTGTGGCCAGTAAGGTGGTCGGCAAGGAGCCTTTACTGCATGTTAGGGGGCAGGAGATCTGAGGAGGACAAAATCCTTGCCCTGAAGGAGCTTGCCTTCCAAAAAGAGCAGGAGACCGCAGCATATTCATTAATAAAGACACAGTCAAACAGGGCCAAGTGCTCTGAAGCACCTCAGACAAAGCAACATGCTGTAGAATGACAGAGATCGGGGGTCGGGGACAGAAGAGTGCCTACTTCAGGTGGTCGAAGAAAGCCCCTCTGGGGAGGTGCCATTTGGTCTGAGACCTCAGGGCCAGTGGGCTAGGAGCAGAGATGCCTTGGGAAAGAATGGCGATGGGGTCGGATGGGGCAAGACACGTGCCTTCTGTGTCAAAGGCAAAGGAGTCATCGGAGCGTGTGAAGCAGAGGATGCTCTACTATTTCCCCAGAAAGATCACTCTGGCTATAGTGCAGAGAAGGAGGAGAGTCAGGGAGGAAAGAATGGCCCCAGTAGGAGACCGTTGCAAAGCACTGGGAGATACTGCCACAGCTGGGACCAGCACGGCGACAGTGGGGATGAAGTGTCAGATGCTGAGAATGCCATGCGGGTCGGGTCAGGGTTGACAGGACCTGCTCATGGGTTTGGTGTGGGGTGTGAGGGGAACAGAGCCTGCATCCCAGGCTCCTGGCCTGAGTGGCTGTAGATAGTGGCACCAAATACTGAGCTCATGAAGATGGGGTGAGAGCTGATGATGAAGACAGCAAGAGTTTGGTGTGAGCCACACGGAGTTTGAGACACGTATTGGACATGTAAGGGGAAGGCAGGTGGACACGTGTACAGAAATCCGGAGCCCAAAAGAGAGGTGTGGGCTGCAGTGGACAACCTAGGAGTATTCAGAGTTCTGACACTGACCAAGAACACCCAGGAGATCATTCAGGGATGAGCAGGGCTGAGGCGAGGGGCTAGCCACAGGCAGGACTGCACACTTGCTGCCTCGTCTTATTTGTGGAGATGTCGTTCACGCGGTAAGAAAGGCATTCCAAAGCCCTCAGTTCCTTTCTTTATGCCTCAGTTTCTCCATTAGCACATTAAAAAGATGCCTGGTCTGGAGTTGGGCTTGTTTTTAAAAGGTGGCTTCCAATGATGGTTTTTCTTGGCCTCGGTCTGTCTCGTCATCCAGGTCAGGACGGGCCCGGTCCGCGGCTGAGGAATGCCACAGAAGTGACAGTCCACTGTGAAAGACTGCTGCTCCAGATCACTTCTGGAAGGCCTGGGGATGGGGCAGGCCATTGAAGTAGAACTGGATGTCAGATGCACGCACCAGAAAAGACAGGAGGACAAAACGCAAAACGAGAGAGGGAGGGGGACAGGGAGCAAGGAAGGAGGGTTAGAGACTCGAGATGAAGGAAACAAGAGATGGAAGAGAAGAGGGAGGACCGGAAGACAGATCAACAGAGAGAGGGACGAGAAAGAAGGTGAGAAAAGGGCTTCCAGGGTGACAGCGCCTGGACTGGGCCCTCTGGATGGACAGTGACTGGGAGGCCTGAGCTCAAGTAGCCCTCACCCCCTGAGAGGGTGGGGGCTACCTGGGGAGCTGGGCTTGATGCATCTGGAAGGATCTTCAGAGGCAGAAGTGGGGGAGTGGGAGGACAGAGGGCACCCAGGCGCTAGAACAGTGGGAGCTGCAGGATCGGAGAGCCAGAGGAGTGAACAGCTCTGGCAGATTTCCTGCGGGCGAGCGGAGGGGGCAGGAAGCTCGGTGGTGTTGGCACAACGTGAGAAGTTCCAGGGAGGCGTGGGAGGGCAGCTTCTGCAGGACACAGACTTTGCAGAGGGAGAGTAGCAAACAGGCTGACTGCAGCCAGCTCTGGCCGGCTCCACAGGGTGCTGCTTTTTCTCCATGTGGAGCTGGTGTGCATCACCCTGAGGACAGCAGCGAGCACCCATAGGGCATCTTCTGCGTGCCAGGCACATCTGGCACTTGATGATAGACACCAGCAATCCTCACCACACCCCAGGAATGACTAGGTTTTAGCACCATTTCATAAATGAGGAGGCTGAAGCTAATTTCCCCGAGGTCACAAACCAGGGCGTCTGGTGGCTTCCCCTCCTCACTGCCGACCCTGAGAGTGGACTAGGTGGAGTTATCTGGAAAGAGGAAGCTGTACCTGAAAACCCTAAATGCACACGCACATGCACACACACGGATACATGCACACGTGCATACTTCATGCACATATGCACACATGCATGTGCACACATGAACACATGGATACATGCACAAACGCACACACATGTACATACATGCACACACATATGCACATGAACGCACATTCACATACACCCATACATGCACACATGCCTGCACACACATAGACCCACATGCACACACATGCATACATGCACGATGCACACATGCACACATACACATGCACGCACACATGCACATGCACGCACATATGCACACATGCACACCTACACACATACATGCACACATGGATACATGCACACACACACGTACATGAATGCACATAAACACATGGGCACACACACATGCTCACACCCATACATGCACACATACACACATACCCACATGCACACATGCATACATGCACAATGCACAGATGTACACACACATGCACAGTGCACACATCCACATGCATGCACACACATACACACATAGCTGCACACATGCATACATGCACAGATGCACACACGCACATATGTACACATGGACATGCACACATGCACACTACACATGCACACATGGACACACATACATGCACACACATACATGCACAGTGCATGCACACACACATGCACATGTACACACACATACACAGGCACACAGGCACACACATACACAGGCACACACATACACCCGCACGCGGTGCTACAGCTCTGATTAGTAGGTAAACAAAAGGTCCCCATCTAGTGGTGACTTGGCTAATGTGCAGGCACTCAATCCCAAAGGCCCATAGAGGCTTCCTTCACCTCTTCTCTTCTTCATTCATGGATTCTCTTGAGCACCTGTCCTGGATGCTGGGGACACTATGATGAACCAGACAAGGTCCCAGCCACACAGCTTATGCTTCATTGAGGGGAGGCAGACACAAGCCAGGAAACCAGTAAAAGTTCAGTGAAAAGCACGGAGTGAGACACACGGGTGTGGAGGGCGTGGCCAGAGAGAGCTTTAGATCAGGCGGTCAGGGAGCGCGTCTCTGAGGAGGTCAAATTTGACCAAGCCCCGAATGGTGGCACGGATCCCACCGCTTGCAGATCCTGAGGAGAAGCATTTTAGACAAAAAGGGCAGCAAGTCCAAAGGCCCAGGGACAAGACAGAGCAAGAGCTGTGACATGAAACAGCCTGGTGTGCCTGGGAGAGTGGAGGGTGACGAGGGTGGAGAGGCTGGTGAGGGTGGGTTCCCGGCAAGCGTGCCTGGCCACGGAAGGATTCCGCATGTCTTTCCCGAATAGGAAACCACACTGGGGCTGTAAGCCAGAGAGTGAATGCAACTTGGGTTACAGTTTGAGACAGCCCCTGCTTATTTCCTTCCATGAAGGAGGAAAAGCTGCTGATGACAGGGATTTGGGCAGTGGCCAAAAAGATGGAGAGAAGAGGGCAGAGCATGGGCTGTTTTAAACACAGAGATGATGAGCAGGACCTGCTGGCAGACTGGATGTGAGAAGTGGAAGGAGCGGAGGCAGTGAGGTCGGCTCCTGGTTTCCTGAGAATGTGGGTGAAGCACGGACTCGCAGGCAAAGGGAGCGCTAGGAAACCACAGGTTCCCTTGTGAGCGCCTCAAGTTGGAGATGCCTGAGACATCCAAGTGAGATACGAAGCAGGCAGCTGGAAACACGAGATGAGCTCTGGGAAAACGCTGCCATCACCCTGGCTGTGTGCTGCCCAGGTGCCCACACCCAGCTCTAGCTGGGAAGAAAACCGCCACTGTCCTTGTGTCCCTGCGTCCTCACCTTTTACGATGTAATTCTTAGCTTTTCTTATCAAGAGGCAGAATCTGTTTGCCCCACCCTTGAATCTAAACTAGTTTTGTGGCTTAGTTTGGGCAATAGAAAGTGGTTGGTGGGATGGTTTACCAGTTTTGAGCTAGGTCTCAGGAGGTCTGGGGCACTGCTACTCTCCCTTAGGACAGCTGCCCCTGCCCTAAGGAAAAACCCGGGCTAGCCTGTTGGAGGAGAGCCACTGGGATCAGTGGCCTCAGCTGACTTTAGACACCGAGAGAGAGCTCAGCGAGCAGTGGCTTGTACCTGACAAGATGCATGAGGGAACCTGGTTGAGACCAAAACAACTGCCCAGCTGAGCCCAGGCTGAACTGCCAACGTGCAGAATTGTGAGCTAAATAGGTAAAGGCTTTTGTTTTAAGTCGCTGGGTTTTGGCATGGTTTGTTAGGTAGCCATAACTAACTGGTATAATTAGTCCTGTTCCCTTATTCACTGAGACTGGTGGGTTCTCAGCCCTGAGCTGGACTTAGAGGCCAAGGAAATGTTGTGGACATGGCCTTTGTTCCTTTCCTTGAAGGTGTAGAAGGAGGTCATGTTCATGTAATAACAGAGAACACACAGCTGTAATCCTTTGCTCGGTCAGGCAACACGCATTTAGTGAGCACTTGCTATGTGCCAGGCACAGTGCCAGGAAGTAGGGATTCAGAGATTTAAAGAAAACAAACAGAAATCAAATCTGAAACTCCTGGGGAGAATGCTGAGAGTGGTACCAACTTTTAGGAGTTCAGACGCAAACTCTGGATTGAGAAATGGACAGAGGTGAAGACAGAAAGGAACACCGGAAGTGGGGGGCAGCAGAGGGGCTGGGGGCTCAGACTCCTGCGCTCCGCCTGGCTCGGCTTTTACTATCAAGTGGGTGACTGGCCCACCCTTCTCCCCCACCCATGCGTGGTTGGAAATTGCAACTGCAGATGGAAGCTTGAGGTTTATGAGCATCAGGGAAAGTGTCAGCAGGCCGTGAGGGAAGCAGGTGTAGAAAGGTGGACGTGGAACCAGGGTGGCCGGCCCAAGCCAGTGGGCACCTCCTCACCTCGGGGATCCTGACCACCGCAGAGACCAGCTCCAGGCTGTGAAGATGCCTGGCCAACCAACACAGTGGAAGGAAAAGGGCCAGGGGCAGGCTCAATGCTGGGGGACAGGTTTCCTGGGTGAGATCCAGGCCATATTTTTAAAAAAAAATTTTTTTTTGAGACAGAGTCTCATTTTGTTGTCCAGGCTGGAGTGCAGTGGCATGATCGTGGCTCCAATCGTGGCTCCCTGCAACCTCCACCTCCCAGGTTCAAGCGATTCTCCTGCCTCAGCCTCCTGAGTAGCCGGAATTATAGGTGTGTGCCACCGTGCCCAGCTAATTTTTGTATTTTTAGTAGAGACGGGGTTTCACCACGTTGGTCAGGCTGGTCTCGAACTCCTGGCCTCAATTAATCCACCTGCCTAGACCTCCAAAAGTTCTGGGATCACAGGCATGAAGCACCATGCCCAACCTGTCTTCACTCCCTTCTCTCTTCCATCCCCTAATCTATAAGATAGAAAGGATGGGCCCTTGATGGTACACAAGCCCCATTTGTTTGGCACTGATGCCCTGATTCTCGGAGAACTGCGGTGGGAGTGTAGAGGGATGTGTGGACTCTCACTGAGAAAGCCTGCTGTCCTCGACACTGTCATGCCTTCCGTGAGCACATGTGTACTGAAGACCTCCTCCAGGCCAGGCCCTCTGCACCAGACTCCACAGAGCTCTCAGACCAAAGGGAAAACAAGTAAGCAGGGGATTGCAGAACAAGCTGGGGGTGCCGGGATCAGGGTGGGCTTGGGGAGCAAAGCCTACCTCCAGGAGGGTGAGGGAAGCTTCCCTGAGGACTGCTGGGGGTCTGACATCTCATCTGAGACTTGAAGATGAGGAGGAGTGGGAGGGCCGGTGGGGCCACGCAGAGCCTCCCAGGTCGAGGGTTGGAGAGAATCGGCATCCGCCACGCCAGCTCCTTGCGTGCCTGCCTTGCCCGTCTCTGCTGAGGGCTCTTCTCCATCGTCGGTCCCTGCAGGCCAAAACCCGGGTGACAGATTCTCATATTCCACATCCCACACCCAATCTGTTGGCACTGCCTTCATGCATCTAGATTCTGTATTTGTAAAATGCTTTCATCAAATGTTTACATGAAAAGAAAAATAAGAGGGGAAAAATCTAGAAGCTGGTCACTTCTTACGACTTTCACCGCCACCTTCTTTGGTGGTAGCCACCATCGCTGGTGCCTGGGTCACCACAGCTGCTCTTTGCCGTTCTCTCTGTGCCCACCCTCGGGCCCTCCATCTCTGCCTCACACAGCAGTAGGCCAGCAGTGACTAAGCCCAGCCCTGGCACTCCCTGCTCACGCTCCCAGCAGCTCCCTCTGGGCTGTCTTTACAGTGCCACCCGGTCAAGTCTGGGCTGGAGTTGCACCTTCCTGATGAGACTTATGCTGACTTCCCTTCAATCCTGCCCTCTCCCACCAGCCTTGCCCACCCCCTTTGCCCTTCCCTTTATTCATCTGATGAAAACTGGAGACTAGGGAAGCGGGTAGGGGAACTGTGACTTGTTGTGGATGGCCAACTAGCGCCCAGCGGGGCCGGGGTGTGAACCCCTGTCTTCTGATTCCCGATCTCTTGCTTTCCACCCTCTTTCTCAAAATGTGGGAGCTGGATCCGATGTCCTCTGAGTCTCAGGCTCTGCAGTCAGCATTCAAATCCTGCATTTGTTGTGTGACCTGGAGTCATTTACTTGGCTTGTCTGGGCCTCAGTTTCCTCCCTGTAGAAGCAAAGCTATGAATAGTCCCCACCAAGGCTCTCAGCTCAGTGATTGACGTGTTCTGCCTTTCTTACATGGGCCCTGACATCCTGAGATCCCAGGCCCCCTTCCCACCAGAGCATGGGTATTTTAGAAGGGTTGCCATTGACAGGGCAATATGTCTTGTTTTTAAAAACTGTGAACCCCTGTCTCCTGTTGCTAGGAGCCTTGGTATTTCTCTCCAGAACTTTCCTTGTTGTCACAGTTGGTGGCATCAGCTGCTTGTTAGGAAGCCACAACTGAGGAAGCCGACAGCTAGTGTTACCGCGCCAACCTCTGGAGGAAGGGCCGCCTCTCTGCATTCACAGTCAGGGCCCAGCTGAGGAAGGGGCAGCTCCCTGGCCCAGCTGGGAGCAGGGTCAGTCAAGGACCCGGGCGCCTGGCTGTGGCTCAGGGGCAGCAAGGGCTGACAGATCCTTCCCTTCTGCATCCTCCCCCTCCTCCTCCTCCCACTCCCTCCCGTTTCCCCTCACACTCAAGGGCAGGGAGCCAGATTTTCTGTCTAAACCACAGCTTTGCTTCTGCCAGGTTTCTGTTTGGGGGAGAATGTCACAGGCAGTCCACTTCCATCAGCAACGCCTTCTTCTTCCTGCTGCTATCTGCCACCCCGACCCGAGGACCTTCTGCCCAGGGCACCAGTCACCAGCTCTGACCGTTTCTTTTCTCCCTGCCAGGCCCTGTGTGAGGGGTGTTCTCATCCCTGACCTCATGTAATCCTCAAACCCTATGGGATGTGTTTCATTATCAACCACATTTTGTAGAAGGGGGAAACTGAGGCTGGGAGTGGTGAAGCGATTGCTTCTACACAGCCCGTGAGGAGGCAGGGTCAGGGTGCCACCCAGCTTGTGCTGTTTGCTTTAAGGGCAGCACTTCTTGTGAGGCGGTGGTGACAGCAATGAGCAGATGGCAGAGGCCACACTGATGGCTTCCTGTGCTCTCCTGGGCACTGTGGGGCAGGTCCCCAGCAGATCTCCACTCTGGGTCCGGGGCAGAGGTGTGGGAAGGGTGGAGCGGAGCACCGGTTGTGACCCATGATGTCCACTAGGTGTCGCCCGCGTTCTGGAAAAGTTGTCAGCGATGGCCGCCGGGTCCCAGGAACCAGGAAAGGAGCTGGGAGGGGCACGGGTCTGCCGAGGAGGCGGGCAGAGGTAGGTCTGGGCAGAGATGGCAGCCCCAGGCCAGGGAGGAGCACGGACAGCCCCCTCCTCACGCCTTAGCGTGGAAGACCTCACTACCTCGCATGGAGACTTCATGGGTCCTACTGCCAGGAGATCCCTGGGCGGTAGAATGGGCCCCTCCTCCCAAAATGAGACCCACTCTCTGCTCCTCCTCCCCATGCCAGGGAGACCCCAGCTGCACCCCATCCCCTTCCGGGCACCTTTGGGACTGCCACACAGACCCGGGTCCTCACCCCTGTGCTCCCAGCCACGCTACTTGGCACCACGTGCCAAGGTTAGGAACTTACTGTCTGCCTCCCGCCTGGGCTGCGGGCTCCATGGGCAGAGGCCGGAAGCCCAGCTCCATTGCTGGCACATGGGGACTCAGGGCCGCTGAGTGAACAAACCTGCGGGTGAGCTTGTCCAGGGATTTTCAAACTTTTAAAATGCTGAGGCCTGGCTCGGTGGCTCACACCTATCTTCCCAGCACTTTGGGAGGCCGAGGTGGGTGGATCACCAGGTTAGGAGATCAAGGCCATCCTGGCCAACATCGTAAAACGCCGTCTGAACTGAAAATACAAAAATCAACCAGGCTAGTGGTGAATCCCTGTAGTCCCAGCTACTCGGGGGGCTGAGGCAGGAGAATCACTTGAACCAGGGAGTTGGAAGTTGCAGTGAGCCGGATCACCCACTGCTCTCCAGCCTGGCAAGAGAGTGAGACTCCGTCTCAAATAGAGAGAGAGAGAGAGAGCTGAGAAATCCCGCTTCCCCTTCCAGCGGCACCTGTGAAAGCTTCCCCATGTAACACAGTGGTCCCCGCTGATGTCCCCAGGGAAGCCCATGGCTTTAGGGAGCATGGGAAACTGTTCTGGTTGCTGTGGGGGAGGTAACCGATGCCCATACAGGAAGGAGCCTGAGTCAGGGAAGGGACCAGGACGCAGCTGCCTTGTGGGACCCTCATGGCCCCACCATCACTCACTGTCACTCTGAAGAAATACCCGGCCTCCATACAAATGATCTCAGCGGTAATCATCTCCTGCCCACTTGCCCCTCCCCTCCACTAGGCTCACAAAGCCCTTTCCTCCCCGCTGTCTCAGTGGCTGCCACAACAAGCCTGGGACCTTGCACTGTAGAAATGTAGTCCCATTTCACAGATGGGCCCACCAAGGCTTGACAGATGTCAGCAGCAGAGCTGGAAGGAGAACCGGATGGGCCAGTCTCTCCTCCCGCCGCCCCAGCTGCCCAAATCATCATTCAGGAGCTGCATGGAGCAGGGGTTAAAAGTCAGACCCAGCCGAGCGCAGTGGCTCACACCTGTAAGCCAAGCACTTTGGGAGGCTGAGGAGGGCAGATCACTTGAGGTCAGGAGTTGAAGACCAGCCTGGCCAACATGGTGGAACCCTGTCTCTAATAAAAATACAAAAATTAGCTGTGCGTGCTGGTACACGCCTGTAATCCCAGCTACTTGGGAGGTTGAGGCAGGAGAATCACTTGAATCCAGGAGGTGGAGGTTGCAGTGAGCCAAGATCGCACCAGTCTGGATAATACAGCAAGACTCTGTCTCAAAAGAAAACAAACAAACAAAAAGTCAGACTTAGAGGACTCAGCGCCCAGCTCCATCACTTGTGACCTGTGTGACTTGCTCTCTGGGCCTCAGTTATCAGCAGAAATGGGTGCGGAGAGCACGGCAGAGATCTGTGCCTGAAAAGCGCTTAGCCCGTCGTTAGCGTCATCACGGTCATCGCCCCACTGCTGGACCACGGGGCCTAGGGTCCGTGGCATTGGCACCACTTCTCACCCCCAGGCCGGAGGGCAGGAGGGAGATGGGCCATGCCAGCCACTGGGCATGGGAACCCACCTTCTCCAGAGCTGGAGAAGCAGGGGGAGTCACTGTGCCCTCCCCCAACGCCTGGCCAAGGAGGGCCCAGCCATGGAAAGTTGAGGTAGGAGGCCTTTATTCATTTGAGGAGGGGAAGCCGAGTCCTGTGGAGATTCTCTGGGAGCTGCAGCATCCAAAGTGTCTGGGGTGAGTGGGGGTGGGCAGGACCCCCAGGCAGCAGAATCCCATCCCCAGACCCTGGCCTGGACTTCCCAAGGGGCAGGGGAGGGTGTGTGCGTGTGTGTGTGTTGAGGGGCGTAGCTGGGAACCTGCGTTCCCCCTAGCAGGAGGACCATGGCCAGCAGGAGGCGGCGCTGTGGGGGAGGGGGGGGTGGGGGGGTGGGGGCGTGGGGGGGGAGTGGGGTGGGGAGGAGGACGGCATGGGCCCCTCACACACTGACGGTGGCACTGGGGGGCAGTGTCCTTGTCTCCATGGCTGGGGCTCTGGAACCTGGGGCTGGTGAGGCTCCCTGGCCTCTTTTTCATACATGTCCCTCCTCTGCCTTTCCTCCCCAGCAACAATGGTGCCCGGGGCACTGCCAGATGAGCTTGTTGGTGGCTGTTGAGTCCAGGCGGAGAGTGGCCTCAGTGGTCCTCGGGCTGGCGGCGCTGGCTCCGTGGAGGCCGCCGACCCTGAGTTGAGGCTCGGACAGGTAAGAAGCAGGGGAAGGTGCACCTGGAGAAACAACAGTGCTGGGGGCCCACAGGGGCGTCCCCTCCACCTCGGCCCGGTTCCAGGCCTTACACAAACACCTAGACCCACAAGGCCCTGCCCCCAGCTCCTCAGTGCTGCCTGGAGGCCCCTCCCTGCTGGTGGCTGTCACTCACCTCGTCCTTTCTGGCTTCCATCTTCTCCCCTCTCCTTCACCACCCTATTCTCTCCCCACTGCCTTCTAGAAGCTTCCACACAGCTTCCCACCTTGACCCTCTTCTAGAATCTTCCACGCAGCCTCCTGCCTTGATGTTCTCCCTCTTTGTTTCCCTCTTCACTGAGGTGGGTCTCAGCCCTCAGCCTCTTCCCCACCAATGGGACTTGTGACACCTGCCCACAGCCCAGGGAGAGAGGGTGAGGGTCCCCCCTTCACCGTTCCAGGGGCGGGCCAGGAGGGCAGTGTCTGTCAGGGACCTGGAGGGCGGGGGTAGGGGTGCTCCTCAGAGCCACGCGGTGTGGTGGGGCAGGGTTGGGGTGACACGCATGGGTCAGTGGGGGGTACAGAGAAGACTTGTAGGTGTTGGGGCCATGTTTTCATGTGTCCCCATATTAGCCTGGGGGGTGTCCCTAGGTGTGGCTCTGTCACTGCCCAGGAGCCTGCTCTGAGATTGGACTCTGGGGCTGGGACACTCAGCACAGCGCTATACCCTGGGGTCTGAGCCTGGACTCACGGCCACCTTAGTGAGGGCTGGGGTGAGGCCACCTGCTCTGTGAATGGGGCTCTAGAGAGCCTCAAGCCCAAAGTAACCGCCACCCTGGACCATCCTGTGGGACCAGCCGAGGGGCTCCTGGAACCCAAGCTTTGGGACCAGCAATCTGCCTTCCTGTGACCTTAGGCCGAGGCTGCACCCAACTCTGGGCCTGGGCTGGTGGCTCAGACTCTCTAAGGCTCTTGGGAGTCAAGTTGGGGCCACAACAGAGGCTCTACTTAGAGGCCCCTCCTGTCTCTCTCTCTCTCTCTCTCGTTCTCGGGTCTCCCCGGCTACTCTCATCAGAAGAGACCCCTAAAGCTCCGTACTTCCCACCTAATGCAGAATCAGTGGTGAGATGCAACCGTGCCTGGGGCTGGGCTGGGGGAGCAACATGGCCAGAGTCAGGACCCAGACCTTCCTGAGTCCTCGGGGGTGGGGGCTGCTGAGCCCTCGCTGGAGGGCGCCAGAGAGGAGGCAGCCAGCAACCCTGGGGCTCCCAGCCTGGCTCCTACCCTCCCTGCTCCTCTGTCTGGTCCCCAAGCCAGACCCTCCACCCGCTCTTCTCTCTCAGACCTCAGAGGCTCTAGGGAGGGGTGGGGGTCGCCGGGGATGGGTGACTGCAGGTGACCTCCTCGGGGGGCGGTTCGTAGATGCTGCAGCTGGGCGTGGGGCCCTGGCAGTAGATGTTGAGGAAGCCTCGGTACTCCTCTCGGTACGTCCTGTTCATGAGGCACAGAACCACGTTCTTGTCACACGCGCACGTCTGCTTGTCACACTCTGTCTTGTTGAGCTCACCTAGAGGCGGATGGATGGGCAAAGTCTGTGGGTGAAAGGAGCAGGGGCCCCCCAGGACCACTGCTGGGGAGCGGGGGCACAGACTTGGAGAGCCCAGTGGCCCTCGGAATGTGGTCCCAGGGCGGCAGGACCAGTACCACCCATGGGCCCCACCCCACACCTGCAAAGTTGGCAGCTCTGGGCTGGGGCCCAGCAGTCTGCTGTAACAAGCTCTCTAGGTGACTCTGGTGCATGTAAAATTGGGGAACCACTGACATCTAACACAGTTATTGCATAGCTGGGGAAACTGAGCCCCAGAAAGGGGGATGGGTTTGCGTAAGTCACACAGAGAACTGAAGGCCCACCCCCAGGCCTGTTACTTCTGCCACCCTAGACGTCTTTCTTTCACTCACAGAATCAGAGAACACCCACTCAAGAGGGAGATATTGCCAGCCGCGGTGGCTCACACCTGTAATCCCATCACTTTGGGAGGCCAAGGCAGGTGGAGGATTGTTTGAAGTCAGGAGTTCAAGACCAGCCTGACCAACATGGTGAAACCCTATCTCAACTAAAAATATAAAAAATTAGCTGATATGGTGGTGAATGCCTGTAATCCCAGCTACTCGGGAGGCTGAGGCAGGAGAATTGCTTGAACCCAGGAGGCGGAGGTTGCAGTGAGCTGAGATTGCACTATTACACTCCAGCCTGGGCAACAAGAGTAAAAATTTGTTTCCAAAAAAAAAAAAAGAGGGAGTTATTGGTAAGAAATGAGTGAGAAAAACACTTGTCAACAGCTTAGTGAATGCCTAAGAGCCTAGCACAGGTGTAGTGGAGGGCTAATGCTCCTGTGGCTTGTCCCTGTGCCTTGTTATAATTATTAGATTTCAGAGATCACCCTTAGGTGCACCATAGAATCAGCTGGAGGGCTTGTTCAAACAAAGACTGCTAGACCTCACCCCTAAGTGTCAGATTCTGTAGGTCTGGGCGGGGCCTGATAATTTGCACTTCTAACAAGTTCCTGGGTGCCGTAGCTGCTGCTGTCGTTGGTTCAGGGAATACCCTTTGAGAACCTCCAACTAGCTCCATCGGTCTGCAAACCTTTCACACTTTATATCAGCAAAATCTTGTCTCTTAAACGAAACTCTTTAAAGAAGGCCAGTGCATCAGACAGCCCCAGAAGACGCTGTTTAATGATAAAATACACTAAAGTGCTAGCTGAACCTCTCAGGGACTATGTGACCATCACCTCTCAAGGCTGCTAGCTTTGATGGCCCCAGGGATCCCCAAAACCCAACGTGAAAGTCACTGCTTTAAGTTAGTCCGTTACCCTTGGTGGGTGGTGGGTGGGGGAGAATCTCTCTCCTCCAACTGCATTAATAGGGGGACATCTGCTATCTCAAGCCAGCCCCTCCACCTCATGTTTGACCAGAAGAACGTGAGGACCACAGAGCTCTGGGCTCCCAAGGGGTCCCAAATGCACCCCATTCTCCACTAAACTCCTCCCCAGATGACAGGAGACTTGAGTGTCTTTGCAAAGCCAGCATTGCTTGTGATCTATTAATAAGGAGCAACTTGGTAGTGCCAAGTGAAGACATGGGGGCAAAGAGGGCTCGGGGGCTGCCCACAGAGAGGGGCATTGAGTGGGGCAGGGCAGGGACCCCTGGGCGCAGCTACCTGGATGCCACCTGCGCTTACCTACATGTTGGGAAATAGTCACAGCCAGCTCATAGTAAATGAGGGGACCTGCCAGGCCTGGTGCTAATACCTTGGATCCCTGGAAACACTGGGTGTCCTGGGATGGAGCCACCTCTGTAGGTGGGGTCCCAGTGACACAACTGGAAGGGAAAGAGTCTGCTCTGATCCAAACCCGTCAGCAGACCCATGAGTGACGAGACGGAGGCCAGGCGGGGTTAGGTCAACACGGTGCAAGGGGCCGGAACCCGAGTTCAAACCCAGGCCTCCCAAGTCCCCGGCCAGCATGTCTCGGCCTCTCTGCAGAGCTGCAGTCTTGGAACCATCTGGGGAGCTGGCTGAAGGCCAAGTTCCTGGGCCCCGCCCAGACCCAGTGAATCAGAACCACTCAGAATTTGGGGGACAGGAGAACCAGGATGCCAATTCTAGGACTGAGCATCAGAGAACCTCAGGGAGACGATCTAGAGCCACAGCTAGGCTGGTCAGATTTAGACTGAGCAAAACCAACATCAAAACACAGGATGGCTGGTTAAATTTCAGTTTCAGGCTGGGCTGGTGGCTCACACCCGTGATCGCAGGACTTTGGGAGGCAGAGGTGGGAGGAAAGCTGGAGGCCAGGAGTTCAAGACCAGCCTGGGCAACATAGAGGGACCCCATCTTTACAAAAAAATACAAAAATCAACTGGGTGCGTGGCACTTGCCTGTAATCCCAGCAACTCGGGAGGCTGAGGCAGGAGAATTACCTTAGCCCAGAAAGTCGAGGCTTCAGTGAGCTATGATGGCACCACTGTCCTCCAGCCTGGCCAACAGAGCAGTCTTTGTAATTAATTAATTAAAATTTCAGGTAAATAGTACATGTTTTAGTAAAAGTATGTCCCAAAAGTTTCATTTTCTATAAATATTAATTAATTTTATATGAGCATTTAATTTTGAGTATCAATACGTCCCATGCAGTATTTAGGACACACTTAATATTAAACCGTTGCTCATTATATATCTAAGATGTGAATTTCACTGCGCAGCCTGTCTTTCCTTTTTTTTTTTTTTCGAGACAGAGTCTCATTCTGTCACCCAGGCTGGAGTGCAGTGGCACAATCTTGGCTCTCTTTAACTTTCGCCTCCTGGGTTCAAGAGATTCTCCATCCTCAGCCTCCTGAGTAGCTGGGATTACAGGTGCCTGCCACCATGCTCGGCTAATTTTTGTATTTTTAGTAGAGACGGGGTTTCTCCATGTTGGCCAAGCTGGTCTTGAACTCCTGACCTCAGGTGATCCACCGGCCTCGGCCTCCCAAAGTGCTGGGATTACAGGCGTGAGTCACCACGTCCAGCCGGCAGCCTGTATTTCATCTGACAAGACTGTCCACCATCCCAGCACAAGCTGATGGAGCCGGCCACTCCCTTCTCCGGGGGTCCAGGTGGCAGGGGAGGGACTCACTGCAGACGATCTCAGTGTCATTCTCAATGGTATAGTCGTAGTGGTCCACGTAGGGGTGACAGCCCTGGTCAAAGAGTTCCTGGTAGCAGCAGTCGTGGGCGTGACAGCACCTAGGGATGAGCAGAGGTGAGTGGACAGGCATGGCCGGGCTGGCCCATCTCCCACCAGCACAGACCTCTGATCATGTATTCCAGTCTCTCACAACTCAAACGTTTGAACTGAAGCCCAGAGACAGACAGTTACTTGTCCAAGGTCACACAGTCAAGCAGAGCTGGGACCAGCACCCCAGGTTCTGATCCTCACAGCTTCAGTTTCATGGCTGCAACCAGAGCTGCCCACCCCAGGACATATTCTCCCCTGTGTCTTTGTTCTATCCACAGGGCTCCCAGCTCTTCCCACAGGGTCCTTGCTGCAGCTGTCGGAGGGGTCAGGGGCCTGTCTGGGTTTAAGTCAAGGTTGGAGGAGCATCGACTATATGTAGAGGCTACCGCGGCTGTGCCTCATGGCCAGGGAGGGACAAAGGTCTGGTGGGATGCAGGACAGGAAGCACAGGCAGTGTGGCTGTCCCCGTCACCTCTGGTGGAGTAAATGTGCATTTATTAAGCTTTCTGTGATACCAGCTTGGTGTTGGCAGCTGTTGGGGGAATAGGAGCAGAAGACAAGCATGACTTCCAGGAACTCTCAGTCCTGTCTTCCAGAGCCTCCCATCTCAGGCGGGCAGGGGTCCCAGCCCTTGCCTTTGCGGGGTGTCAGCTGTTTGACTGCTCTCCCATGTGTGTTTGGAGCAAGTCAGAAGTCCCTTCCTGGGAGAGGAGGGGCTGAAACACTTCCAAGCCCATGACCTTGGAGATGGACAACGGAAAGCGTCCAAGACAGTTTGGAAAGAACATGGTCAAAGAAAGAGCAGGCTCTGTTCACTGACTCATTAAAGAAGCCAAATTCTTTGGGGAAAGAAAGTCTGCCCCTCTCAGGGATGGAGGTCAAGTTCAGTCTGACCTTCAGCTATCCTCATTTGGCCCCTGACAGGAGCCCAGTCTCTGGTACCTACCAGTCCACCTCATCCTTGGGCTGCCCACGGCCCCCTAGCCCACAGTAGCAGCCGTAACCCACGAAGGACAGGATGGCGCTCCTCCCTGTGACAGCCTCCACCATGGCCTTCAGGTTGAGCAGGCTGCCGTGGGCTGCAGACAGAACTGCAAGAGAACCAGGGGGTGCTCTGAGCCCCTGCCCCGTGGCTGGCCGCTCCCAACCTCTCTCATCCTGAGAGTCTGGACTGATCATCCTCCCAATGCCTAGGGATACGTAGGGTAGGGGGAGAAGGCAGGAGGAAGCAGGAAAGGAAGCTGGGACAAGGAGGGTGGGCAGCTAAGCAGGAGGAAAGAAATCTACAAGGGACCACGTATGGGGTTGCAGTGAGCTTTCAATGGGTTCATGGATGGAAGGGGCTTGGGACAGTGCCTGGCATGGAGCAAGCCCCCAGCAAGGATGGCCTGCATTGTTTTCTCAGGACTGCAGGGCTTACAGCAGGGATGTGAGTGTATCAGGTGTGTGTACACTCACCCACAGATACCTGATACACTCACACTCACCCACACACACCTGATACACTCACACACTTGTACACTCACATGCTCATGCATTACAGATGTACTGACATACAAAATGCATCCCGGGGAGAATCGGGCCTGGCCCGAGGCCGTGTCCACATTCGCACTCCAAGTGAAGGAATCCAAGTCCACGTTCAGTTGGGCTGAAGGCTCTGCCCCTAGCTTGGGCTGAACTCAAGTGGTAGCCTTCTAAATAATAGGTCATTTTGCCTGAATGCAGCCAGCCCTCTCTCATGTCTGGCCACATGGAAGCTTACTTTTGTTTTTGGCCTTTATTTCTTTTCCTCAAGCCAGGCTGTGTTCTGGGAGGTTAACAGGCTCATGAAAGGTCAGCAAGAGGCCCAGCCGATGGTCCGTGGAGCTGGGGCACCCGCCACACAAATGATGTCAGGACACATGGCAGGGTCAGGTTTGCGTCAAGGGCCTCATGCAAGAATCCTAAGGGGCAGCTACCCAAACACAACGCCCTGGGTACCACCCCCAGAAAGAAGCCCCTGACCTCCCACCACTCTGTGGTACACAGACACCCACCCTACACACACACACACACACACACACACACACACACACACACCCCTACAGATCTATGCACCCTACATCTGTAAGGCCACTCTGAAGACACACACCCCAATTAACACATGTTCACATGGGCTCACACTGAGGTGCCTACACTGTCACATACTTTATTGATTCGTGTTGTACACATAGACATCACCACGTGCTCAGACACACCTACACACAGATGCCTGCATCTGTCTGCACACAAAATCATTAACTCCTGTCTGATGGACACACACTGATACACACTCAGGTACACAAATGCCCAGCTAACAACAGCATTTTATGATGCTTGCTCAGCTCTCAGCCCTGCCCCCCCGGGGCTCATAAATGCCTGTTTACAGGTGGCTGGAGGGGTAAACAGCTCCAGAATTGGGTGCAGCCTGCTGGGCTGAGGCAGGAAGCAGAGGCCCAGAGAGAGGAAGGAACCTAGGCCAGTAAGTGAAACCATAACTCAGGCACCCAAGGTCAAGGGCGACAGGCAAGGAGCGGGAGAGAGGGAGGAGTCCCCCTGGCGTCATTACTCACCACTGCCAGCGAGGATGGCCATGGCGAAGAGCTTCTTCATACCCAGGCTAGACCTGTGGGAGGATGAAACCCAGGGCCTAAGTCCATCCCCTCCACCCCTGGCAGAGCGGGACCTGCTGCTGCCTTCCCGAGCCTCATGACAGGTGTCATCAATGCTATCTTTTGACGTCCTAGTTGCTGCTCCTAGCTCTGTCATCAGCACCTGCCCAGCCCCTCCTGGAGGAGCATACCCCAAATGGCAGAGCCAGGAGGCACCAGCATCTCTTTGCTCCCAACTCTGGCAGGAGCCCCCTCCACACATCAGCCTCCAGGACAGGAAGCCTGCTGTCTCAGGCCAGACCTCCCATGCACACCCGAGGGAGTCCAGGAAGGAAGTCACGTGACCCAGCCTAGCAGATGAGTCTCGAACCCAAAGCCAGGAGTCCTGAGTCCCTGGATTCCAGTCCCAGCACTGCTTCCAAAATGTGTGACCTCAGCCTCTCTGGGCCACAGGAGGGTTGTGGCGTCACTCTCTTTGGGCCACATGAGTATTGCGTGAGGGTTGACTACGTGTTCCCAAAGGCCCTTCTAGTGCTGGAAATGCAGTGACCATCTCAGTCCCCCATGCTGACTCTCAGAGCTCTCCTTTCTGGAGAAAGGGATTCTAGGAGCCAGTCCCTCACCCCCGTCCCTGCCCCTCCCTGGGAGATTCCATCTCAGGGCAGCAGGCACCTACCTGGAGGTTCTTGAAGGACAGGAGGCCCTGAAGCATGGGCCCCTCCCCCCAGAGGGGCATCTACCCAGCACCTTCTTTTTGAACCCTCTGGGGTTGGCCTGCTCCCCTTCTGCCATGTTCTGGGTTCTGGGGGGCCAACAACATAGGTCTTGAAAGGTCAGTGATGCACTCCAGAGGCTGTGGGGAGCTGGCCCCAGCTTCACACTGCCTCGCACACTGGCAGGGGAGTGCCGGGGCAATGCCCCTGGGCAGGAGGCAGGTGACACATGCCCTAGAAAAAGGAGACTCCACCTCCTCCTCCCACCCCCACAGCCCTGCCCACAGCTGGCTGGTACAGTCTCCACCCCCGGGCACTCTGGCCTGCCTGACTGGGGGGTTTGCATACCTGATAGGAGAATTGGTCTCACCAGGCATCCGAAAGGAAATTAGCCTAAAGGCCTTTCTTTCTCCATCTGAAAGATGTTAAAGAAAAAAAAAACTCACTCAGTGACACTTGTTGAAGCAAAGTAAGGTAGGCTTTGTTCAAAGGGGTCATGGGGTCAGGTGTAGGGACATGGCAGTGGGTTCCGCAGGGGGGAAGAGAGGCTGGACTCAACTGCAGATGCAACAGGGAAAAGCAGGGATTGACAGCCAAGGAGCAGGGTAGAGTCTGAGGATGGGAAGTTATCCAGAAGCGTCAGGCATCTTCGGGGGTTTGGGAGACTGGCTAAACCGTGCAGTACCATTCATGCTGAAGGCAGATGGGTTGCTCAGGCACCACCCTGGGGCCCTGGAGGATGAGGAACGCAACCAGATGTGGAGGACAAAATTGGGGATTCTCCCTAGACCAAACTAGCAGGGTTGTGCCACTGCCAGATTTGCCCTTATAGGGGGCACAGTTACATCTGATGGAGAGGTTGGGGGGCGGGGCCTGGTTGTCAGCATCATTTGCCTTTTTTGAAGACGGGGTGGTAAGAGAAAGATGGGGCTGGAGAAAATCCAAGGGGGTGTGAGTTTCGGGAGGAGGGCTGGGCCACCTGGGCTGAGCCTGGGAGTTGAGCAGTCACAGTCACACTCATAGAGCCTCCCGTGCCCACTTCCTAGCTGTGAGATCTTGGCAGGAGAGCTCCTTTCCCTGGTCTCTGAGTCCCCAGCTGTAAGTGCACATAACAGGGCTCATGGAATGAGGAGGATGCTCATAGAAGTGGGGTGGCATGTGGTGGGGGGGCGGGCGTCGGTGCCCAGGTAAAGATCTGATTGTTACAAAGTAGAGGCCTGGGCCGGCATGATCCTTCACACCCGCAGTCCCAGCCCTGTGGGAGGCCAAGACAGAAGAATCACTTGAGGCCAGGAGTTTGAGACCAGCCTGGGGAACGTACTGAGACTCCATGTCTACAAACCACAACAAAGTAGGGGCTGATCTCCAGCTTGGGGAGGATTGAGATGCCGGGAGGTCGGAGAAGAGGACTCTTAGAAGTTCACACTGCAGATAACCCACTCACCTTCAAGGTGACCCATCTCTCTCGATGTCCTCAAACCTGCTGATGAGGGACAGAAGAGACCCCTGGGGCTTCCCTTCCTGCCCCTAGCTTTGCCAGCCTCCTCTTCTGGCTGTTTCAAACCACAGTCTACATGTCACCCCCCCCCCCCCACCCTTCGTCTGCCCAGCCTCCTCTCTGTGGATCCAGGTCCGTCTCCTCTCCTGGAAGTTTTCCCGGAAAAGCGCCACTGCCTCCAATCACACGTCCTTGTTTGACGGGGCGTTCATTTGCATTTGGTGATGCATTCCTTTGTAGCTACCTGTATATGTTTTGGTTTGTGAATCGTGACACTTCCCTCAGACAGGGGATCCGGGAAGGAAGGGGCCTTTGTTTCTTCCAAAAGCCTTTCTTCCCCCTTGGGACGAGGCTGCAGCTGCCTCATCAGGCTGGGAGTCATTGGACAACAAGGCTAGTCTCTGCCTTCGCTCGTCTGCACAAAATTTGGCTTCTTTCTTCCATTTTTGCACGCACCACTTAGTGATGTCACCACACCCCAAAGAAGGAAGTATTGAGAAGTAAGGCCCAGTATGTTCAAATTCTGAAGATACAGCCTCCAACCTGCAGATAACTAGAGCCGCTTCGACAGAGGTCGAGGAGGCCAAGGCTGGGGCCGGGGACCCCTGAGAGCCTCTGAACAGCGTCATTGCTACTTTCTCAATTGGAATTGCCACTGGACATGCTGGTTGGGCTGGTCCTCAGACAGGCTTGATCCTTGACGGGGAGGACGGGCTCTTCCCTCTCCCTCCCACTTCCCCCTACCAAACTCAGGGTGCTCAATAGCAAGTCAATATAAACTGGTTGACCCAGTCATTCCACTTCTGGGACTGCAAGCCAAGACGCCAACTTGAGTTGCTCGTGGAGACAGAAGAGGGACACCGAAGGGATGTTTTCTTGATGCCCCCCCACCCCCTTGGAAGCAACTTAAATTAGGGGATTAGTTAAGCAAATTATTAGCCATCCATCCATAATCATGTTTTCAAATATTTGCTGATACAAAAATAAACACCCGGTACGACAAGGTAATAGCATTTTAAAAAGGAGTTGGTATACACATCCATACAAGTATTTAGAAGGATACATTATAAAAGCATTAGTAGCAGATGTCTTTAGACATTGGAATAACTGGTGGTTTTTATTTTTTTTATTTGTAGTTTTTGGTATTACAATGAATGTAAGAATACATAATGAAATGGTCAATTTCCTTGAAAGACACATAGTCACTCAACTGGAAATAGCTGTGTGTCTATGCAAGCCACTGAATGTGTAGTTTAAAACCTTCCCATAAACAAACTCCTGCTCCAGGTGGCTTCACTGGTGAATTTGACCAAATACTTAAGGAAGAAGTAACACCAATTGTATGAATTTTCTAGGGCTGCCATGACAAAAGACCACAAAGGGAGGGGCTTCGTGTAGAAATTGAGAGTCTGGAAGTCCAAGATTAAGATGCTGGCAGGGCTGATTTCATTCTGAGGTCCTTGTCCGTGGCTTGAAGATGCCACCTTCGTGCCGTGTCTTCGGGTGGCCTTTTCTCTGCGCTTGCGCAACCTTGTGTCTCTTCCTGTGTCTAAATTTACTCATCCTATAAGGCACCAGTCATATTGCGTTAGGGTCCGCCCTTGATCCCACTTAATCACCTCTTTAAAGGCATTGTCTCCCAATACCCAGTCATGTTCTAAGGTACCAGGGTTAGAGCTTCAACTTAGAAACCTGGGTCAGGGGAAAACAATGGACCCCATAACACCAATTACACACAGATTCTTCCAGAAAATTTAGGTGAAGGAAATGCTTCCCAATTCATTCTACTAAGCCAACATTGTTCCAATACCAAAACCAGATAAAGACATTACAAGAAATAAAAACTACAAGCTATGATTCTTCATCAACATAGATTAAAAAAAATTCTTAACAAAATATTGGCAAACAGACAAATGCTGTCAAACAGGCAAATATACCATGACCTAGTGGGGTTTATCCCAGGAATAAAATAAAAAAGGTTGCTTTTTGCATGAAAAATCAGTCAATGTAATATACCATACTAATAGACTAAAGAAGAAAAGCCATATGATCATCTCAACAAATCCAAGAAAACAAAACAAACGCCATTTGACAAAGTCCAACATCCATTCCCAATTTTAAAAACTGTCTGCAAACTGAGACAGAATAGAACTTCCTCAACTTGAAAAGGGGTATCTATGGCCGGGTGCTGTGGCTCATGCCTGTAATCCCAGCACTTTGGGAGGCCAAGGCAGGTGGATCACCTGTGGTCAGGAGTTCGAGACCAGCCCGGCCAACATGGTGAAACCCCGTCTCTACTAAAAATACAAAAATTAGCCAGGTGTGGTGACACACGCCTGTAATCCCAGCTACTCGGGAGGCTGAGGCAGGAGAATCACTTGAACCCAGGAGGCAGAGGTTGCAGTGAGCCGAGATCACGCCACTGCACTCCAGCCTGGGCGACAGAGCCAGGCTCCATCTCAAAATTAAATAAATGACATTTACAAGAAATATATGGCCAAATCTGGCTTAATGGTGCAAGACTGAATGCCTTTCTCCTGAAGATTAGGAAGACTGTCCGTTCTCACCACTTCTATTTTACATTGTACTGGTGATTTCAGATAGTACAACAGGCAAGAAAATAAATGAAAGGCCTTCAGATTGGAAAGGAAGAAGAGAGTTGATCTCTATTGGCATCAGCATAATAGTCCATGAAAAATATCCTACAAAGGATACAAAAAAGCTACTGGAACTAACAACTGAATTTTGCAAGGTTGCAGGATATAAGATAAAATTACAAAATAGTCATAATAATTGTACTTCCACATACTAGCAATGAATAATTGGATATTGAAATTTTTAAAAATACACTTACAATAATATCAAAAAATATGAAATATTTAGGGATAAAATTGACCAAAAAATGGATACTTGTACAGTAAATCTGTACAAGTATCAGTTGCTCAGGGAAATCAAGGAAGACCAAAGTAAATCAAGGGATATGTCATGCTTATGAATCAGAAGGCCCAGTATTGCTACAATGTCGATTCTCATTTGCTTTATAGTCAATGCAGTCTCAGTCAAAATCCTAACAGACTTTTCTTGTAAAAATTGACAAGCTCACCCTGAAATTCATATGGAAATTCAAGGGATCTAGAATAGCCAAATCAACTATAAAAAGATGAATAATATTGCAGGACTTACATTACCTGATTTTAAGATTTATAAAGTGGGCCAGGCACAGCAGCTCACACCCGTAATCCCAGCACTTTGGGAGGGCAAGGTGGGAGAATTGCTTGAGCCTGGGGGTTCGAGACCAGCCTAGACAACATAGCAAGACCCCGTCTCCGCAAACAAACAAACAAAAAATTAGCGTGGCTTTGTGGCACACACTTGTAGTCCCAGCTACCTGGGGGGCTGAGGTAGGAGGATTGCTTGAGCCTGGGAGGTCAAGGCTGCAGTGAGCTGTGTTTGTGTCCTGCCTTCCAACCTGGATGACAGAGTGAGACGGTCTTAAAAAAAGTTACTGTAATCAAGAGAGTGTGGTATTGATATAAAGATAAACAAATAGGCCAGTGGAACAGAATAGATGATTGAGAATCAGACCTACATGTGTGGAAAATTTATTTCTGACAAGGATGCAAACGGCAGTTCATGGAGAAAGAACAGCATTTTCAGCCATGTTGCTAGGTCAACTATCAACAGAAAGAGAAAGAA